CAAACTGTCGGTATACACTTGTCAGCATTTACTGACAACTCTGCTGTTAAATGAGACCTCTAAAAATAAGAGAAAAGTCAAGGTTTCCCCTAGCTAACAGAATACAACTGCACAGCATGGCAGGTAAATTATTAGCTCGCCTGTCCACTACCAGCTGATTTGAGGCTATATGCGCTCTATGTGGGACGCCTGCATTCTCCCATTGCTGCTTAAGCAATAGGTAACAACATGCTTCCAGTTCCTAACAGCACTTAAGCAATGGACACACGGTAAAGGTTACATCTGAACTCAGTGTGGGCTCTGCCTCTAACATTAACTGAATTTACATTTTGTTCTTTAATAAACAAAAACACATTTCAAATATTTCTACTAATGTACTGAGAGCACAGCAGTTATTGTGAATGCTCAGTGTGGACAAACATTACATTGCATCATGGGATTAGCCTTCCCGTTCTTGCAGAGAAATACCAAAAGCTGCAGGACTACTTGTGGTTTAAAGTAGATACAATGACACATTTTTTCAGTGAATCCATTAGGATCACAGCAGTCATGTGTCCCAGCCTTCGGGCCTATACAAATATGACCTTATTTTCAAATTTGGCCTCTTTTCACATTTCAAAACAGTCCCTATTCAAATGAAGACAACCTGTATAGGCATGGCAAACAGTATGTTAAGATTGCAACTATCATCCATGAAACAATACATATATATATATATCATGAAGGTGCACTGCCAATGTTTTGCCAACAGTGATTAGTGTAAGTGATGCATTTGTCCTCTGCATAACTATACAAGTAAGCAGGACAGAAGCAAATAACTGTTACAGTCATAAGTTACAATGTTTGCAGTTTAAGACACCTTTTTTAGCATAAACTGAAGAATAGGATAACATATACTGGGTTGGACTACTGGACCAATATATATGGCTATTAGTGATCAGCTAGTTGTTGATATTATTGTTTTTGTGAGAAGGAATTTCATTATTTTGGTTGCTGTCCACTTTGTCCTCAAGTCCTGGTTGAGCGAGAGCTGTGATTTGTACACATCTTGTATGCAGTGGCTTGGAAAGCTGCCACTGTGTGGTTGAAGTTAAGTACTGTTGAAGCATCAAAGTGTAAGTCTCACCAGAACGTCTGCTAATCCAGAGACCATGCTAGGTCTACCAGTGGTGTGCTGCTTTGTGTTTTTGATTTCTTTAATCACAATCACGTTATACACCCTAATAATTTATTAGGATGCTTTAACTCTGTTGATTTAGAGACTGCAAGTGCTGCATTTGTTATCTGATTGCATCATTCACATCCTTTGGTTTTTGTCCAGTTTAAAACGAAATATATCCCACCTAGGTGATATTTAGCAAGTGGGCGTATGCAGTTCATCTCCTCACACATAGCTCTTTGGATATTATATCAGCAATCAGTAGTATAGTGCTGCTAAATTACCAGTAATCATCATGGCTGGATGGAACATTTTAGCACATTTCCCAACCCATATACTCGTGCAAACTAAAACTAAACTAAAACACTGACCCTACAGTTAAATAGAAAGCAAGTCGTCTGTACTCAACAGCACTCTATTGACTCACTACACATTTCTCGACATTATAAGGCTGGGACAAGCTTTACAAGCAAACACTTTAGAATGTCATAAGCTTATGTCTGGGTTTGTGTGCTAAAAAACAAACAAACAGGTGTGTGCTGGTCAGATCGATAACTGTAACAGAATATCTGGACTTGAGGCCATTCACCAGTATACAGTATGTGCGGACAGACTGGCATGCTTGTGTGGTTTTGTGCAACACAGTAGGCAGAGTTGGTAGCGTACTGATTCTAGCTGATACCTCGGGCTCTCCCATTGATCAGCCAAATGTCTTCAGCACACTGCTGACTCCGAGCCGTGGTCTTATTTCCTGTCCCCGTAGAACGGGAGCATTATCTGAATTAGTCAGCATTGCAAGTGAAGAGAGTGTATCAATATTTTTGCAATGGTTATATCAAGACTGACTATACAGCAATTATATGAAGAGATCTACTTCAAGCGCCAGTCTCATCTTCTTTTCTTGACTTCTCTCTTGCGTCATCTCATTGCAGCAGGTCGTTCATGACTCAACGAGTGTCTCCCAGACGTTTGCGTTAGTTTGAGCAGCAATTAAACACGAGTGCTGAAAACGATGACTGCAGAAAACCAGAATGGGCATTTAAAGCTTTTCAAGAATTTGCACTGAAAGGAATTCAAATTCAAATTAATTGGTAGTTTTTGCACTCACTGCCATTAAAAAACACCAAACCCAAGACTTGCAACCATGTTTAACACACTGCAATCCACACTATCTGATATCATGACCACTCACTCGCATTGTTCTCTCTTAAGCCACTGTCTCACTCTAACACCACCCTACACGCACAGAGGGGAACCTAAAAGTAGTAACCATGGCAATATTCAACACTGCCCACCGGGTCCACTGACAAAAACTATTAAACAACACACAATGTATATGGTTTAAGCTCACAGAAACATGTAACTGTAGCATTCCTGCCCTCCCTTTGGTCAGAGGTGGGAGGATAGCCACTAAAACACCCCCCGCCCCCTGGGGCTGTGGAGCTGGGTGACTCAGACATTTGCAAACTCTGACAAAACATGTTCATATATACAGCTGGTAGATGACATTATCCCTCTGTTACTAAGGAGATGAAACCTTCTGGAAATACAGTAGCTACAGTGTCTGAGGCACTTGGGCAGCACTTCTACCAGCAGCATCACAACAACTTGTAAAAATTTGGAAAAAAACAAAAAAGTAACGTCTGTGGAAACAGTGCTCAAATATAGTGATGTAGTGTCACGGTGCTATGGTCAACTTATTTGGTTAGTATGCTATGATCCAACAAAATTCTAACTGGTTTGACAATTGGAAAACGAGGTAGCCCTACACCAACAGCCTCCAAAGAATAATCCATTATTTTTAGCAGC